GGCGGCAGGGAGTCGAGCTCCACGAGCCAGTGCTCGAGGTCGGGCGGCGCCGGGACTCGCCGCTGCCACAAGGCCTTCCAGTGGTGCTCGAAGAACCGGAGCTGGGCGGCCGCGCCGCCGCGGAGGGAGCGGCACCACCGGCGATCCCCCGTGCCTCGCACCAGCTGCGCCTTCTTCGTCGCCGTGCGGGGCGGGCACGAGGGCAGCAGACAAGGCGCTGTCTGCGCGGGCCCAGCGGTACAAACGCCCGCCTCCGTTAGCCAGCGCTTGCTGGGCCCACTCCTACCAGGAGTCGCGGCGGCGTGCACGTGCAGCCTGCTGCGCCTCCTGATGCTCAGCCTCAGCCCGCGCGATGCTGCTGGCCATCAGGCCCGGCGCTGTCGTGAGGCGCTGCAGGTCCGCCGACCACGCGCTCCCGGCAGGCTCATCCAGGCGCAACGCTGAGGCCACCGCCCGCGCAAGTTAGCAGCCAAGGCCCCACCGCCGCGCGGCGTGCTGCATAAAACGGAGGCGCCGCAGCCGCAGCAACGCAGCATCCGCGGCCTTGTCGCACGCCTCGCCGCACGCGCCGGTGGTGCGGGGCCGGCTAGCCTGCCACTTCGTGTAGGCATGCCGCCGCTCGGGCGGCTGAAGGTAGCCCATTCGGCGGCCAAGCCACTGGCGCACGGCGGCCTCCAGCGTGGCCCACGCCGCCGCCATGTTGCCATCGCGGAGGGCGGCCTGGAAGGGCCGCCTGTGCTCTCGGACCACCCCGTCGGTGACGGCCTGTCGGGCGTCGGGCCACCCGTCCGAAGGCGGCCCATCGAGGGGCAGAGGCCGCCTCTGCATGGCAGCAACCTCCGGCGCCTCGACTGCCAGCTCCACCTCCAACGCTGCGTGCGTCGCCAACCCAAGATCCCAGCGTAAACCCGCGGACACGACGTGCTCGGCCGCGGCCCTGTTGGCGAGTACGTAGTCTATCCTGGACGGCCGGCCCGAGCTTGGCAAGCACGTTGGCCCCGCCACTGCCAAGATGTCCTGCCAGCCAGCCATTGCCAGGTGGGGCTCCACGCTCGTGCCATGGAGCGCGATGTTAAAGTCACCCACCACATACATACATACATACATGCATACATACATGCATACATGCATACATAGATGCATACGCACATACATGCATACATACATACATACGTACGTACGTACATGCACACACATACGTACATTACTACATACATATATGCATACGTACATAAATACATGCATATGTGCATACATAAGTACGTACGTACATACAGACATGATACATACATGCATACATGCAACCATACATACATACATACGTATATACATACATAGATACGGACGTACTAACGTACATACATACGACCATACATGCATCCGTACATTCACACGTACATACATGAATGCATGCGTACGTACATGCATAAACACAAACGAACATACAACATACGTACATACGTACGTACATTCATGCACACATACATACATACAAACATACAGTCATGCCTACATATATACATGCATACAAACGTACATATATACATACATACGTACATACATGCATGCATGTATGCATACGTACGTGCGTACATACATGTATGCATACATGCATACGGTCATACATACATGTACAAATAAATACATACGTACATACGTACATGCATGCAAACATACATATATACCTACGTACGTACGTAGATACATACATACATACGTACGTACATACATACATACGTGCATACATACATAAATACGTACATGCATGTGTACATCAATACGTAGAAATGTACATACATACATACATGCATACATACATACACAGATGCACACATACGTACATATATACATACGTACATACATGCATACAAACATACAAACTGACATACGTAATTATATACACACATATGTACATACATACGTACATAGATGCATACATATATACATACATACGTACGTGCATACATACATACATCCATATATACGTACATACGTACATACGTACATACGTACATGCATACATACATACATACACTATAGTCACACGCGCGCGCTCCGCGCGCGCTTAGGTTCTTGCACGCCCCAGCGCGCGCAGTTCTTGGGGGGCATCTCAGGGGCCTTGTGGGCGCGGTCTGGAAGTTCTGAAGGCTTCTTAATTTGAAAGCCCGTGTCATCGAGTTCAGCGGCGGAATCGTAGCGGGCTCTTGGGGGCCTTATGGGGCTTCCTGGGAGCGTTTTGTTGGCCTCTTGGGTTCGCTTTGGAGTCTCTAGGGAACCTCTTGGGGCCTCTTGGAGAGCCTTTTCGGGGCCTCTTGGAGACTCCTGGGGATCTCTAGGGGCGGAGAGATTCAAATGTCCGTTCGGGGACCCCACCTTTGCCCTCTCTTGGGGCGTCCTAGGGCCTTCTTCAGCTGCCTTGGGGCCGTCTTGGGCCGTCTTGGGAGCCTCATGGGAGCCTCTTGGCAACATCCTGGGTCTTCTCGAGGGCCTTCCGGGGGCTTCTGGGCCTCATGGGGGTCTCGTGGGGCAGAGGGCCCGAAAAAGCTGGTCGGATCCCCCGGGGGGCCCTCCTTAGAGCTGTCTTGGGGCCCTCTTTGGCCGTCTTGGAAACCTCTTGGGCCGTCTTTGGGCCCTCGACTCTTAGGCCATCTTGGAGCCGTCTCGGGAGCCTCTTCGGCCGTCTTGGGGCGACCTTGGGGGCCTTTTGGGTAGTCTTGCAGCGTCGGAAGCCGACAAGGCGAGAACACAAAAAAACATTCAAACACCATAGAACCATCAACAAGTTGTTTCTCTGTCTGCCCTTCTGGGAAGCCTCTTGGAGGCCTCGTGGGGCGTCTTGAAGGGCTCTTGGGCCGCCTTGGAGCCATCTTGGGCGTCTCGGGACCCTCTTGGACCATCTTGGGGGACTCCTTGGGAAATCTTCGAGGCCTCTTGGGCGTCTTGAGGCCCCTTTGAGGCGCCGGGGCGGGGGTATCAAAAAAGGGGGGCCGATGTTAGGGAGGTGGGCGGGGCCCTTTTCGGGGGGCGGTATATGTTTGTTATACATACACCTAAATACGCATGTGTATATACAAATGAATATATATATATATATATACATGTATATGTATATGTGTGTGTGCCCATACAGTTATCCTGCTATATTAACATATACATATATTATATATAAACCCATGTAAATATATATATAGAGAGAGATACATATGACACCGACGATGAGAGCCAAGCGGGCAGGACATTAACTGCAACACGACGGCGACGACGATGACGCCGAAACCGACGCCGACGCCGACGCCGACGCCGACGACGACGCCGACGACGACGCCGACGACGACGACGACGACGCCGACGACGACGCCGACGCCGACGACGCCGACGCCGACGCCGACGCCGACGACGACGACGCCGACGCCGACGCCGACGCCGACGCCGACGCCGACGCCGACGACGACAACGACGACGACGACGACGACGACCACGACGACAACGACGACGACGACGACGAGAGCTCGGTCCAGCTCGAATGAAATCCTGCTACACGGTTGGATGTGGCTAGAGGGCTGGATGTGGCTAGAGGGCTGGATCCAGTCCGAATAGAACCCTACAACAGTCCTGCTATAGTAGGGCCCTGCTACACCTCTCATGGGATCCTACGAAAGGGTCCGATCCAGCTCTGATAGAATCCTGACTGTAGGGCTGGATGCCGCTTTGACAATCCTATGAAGAATCGATCAAGCCAAATTGGAATTCAACAAAAGCTCGACCCAACCCTACTAGAATCCTACTAGAGCTGCGTTTACCTCTCATGGAACCCACGAAGGCTCGATCCAACTATAGTCGAATCCGGAACCTGAGAATGGAACTGGATCCAGGTCTCATAGAATCGCATTCGGTTTCGACCCAAAGATAATAACATACTATGGGCTGCATTCAAATCTACTCGAAAACTACAAAAGCTGGATCCAACTCAGATAAAATCCTGCTATGGTCTGAATGCAATTATAATAGAATCCTACTGGAGCTCCATCCGACTTCAATGCAACCCTACTAGCATCGCACTGATGGTTAGGCGTCGTCGTCGACGTTGTGGTTGTCGTCGTCGTCGTCTCGTTGTCGTCGCCAACGTGGATCCCGCAAGCGCTCAGTCGTCGTCGTCGTCGTCGTTGTCGTCGTCGTCGTCGCCGTCGTCGTCGCCAACGTAGTCGTGATCGTGGTGGTGGTCGTCGTCGTCGTCGCCGGCGTCGTCGTCGCCCTTGACGCCGCCCCCCCGGGGTTCGAACCGGGCCCCCTCTGGTCCGAACCCCAGAGGGGTGGCCTCTGGCCTCCCCCTCCACCCCTCCCAAATTAGGAGTGGGATGCTGTTCTACCCCCCCGTCAGGGTCGAACCCGGGGGGGGGGCCTTGCTAGTAGCGCCAGAAAGCGGTCTTTCGGAACTATTGGATAGCGTGTTGCTTGGCGGCCCGGGCGGCCCCGGCGGCACGCTATGCCCTGCGATCGGATAGAGTGTCGCTCCGCTCCGCGGGGCGGGAGGCTCGGGGTCACGGAACGTTGACCTCTGGGAATAGTGGCGTGGATAGCGTGTCTCACCCAAGCGTGGTGGGCCAGACCAGGTGAAACGACACGCTATCAAAAAGTTCTCTACAGTATAAAGGAGCGACCCAAATGGGGTGTGGACAGAACCCCCTTTTAACAAACTTAGCCTGGCGAAGACCAAACCATGTACAGCTGCGAGCATCGCGAGGCAGGTGAAATGGAAGAGGGGGGCAGCACAAATATTCAGGCGTCAATCGAAAAGGAAAAGCGGGTACGGGCTCGCGGGGGGATGTTCTGATTCTCCCGAACCCCGCCACTTCACCGCATCAGCGACATCGGAGAGAACTCGCAGCGAGAGGACAACTCTAGGATGGGCTGGGGATCCGCCGCAAGACAATGCAAAACGCATGGCAAGTGGAACATGGAAGAGGGGAGACATGCGTAGAGGAAGGAAGGATGAGGAGGATGCGGATGGGGGGCACTCGAAGGAGGCTGTAATGTATGATTCCTTACCGAAGCATCCCTCCAGCTCACCCTGACCTGCTCCGTCCACCGTCTGCAACGGAGACGGCCGAACGCGGTTCCACGGAGTTGAGGCGCGCACACGCTTGACATCGATTCAAACAAGCGGCAGCACGCTACGCCTGACTCGCGCGGGAAGCGCTGGCAACAAAATCTGGCACGCAACACAGCGCCCCCGCTGGCTGGCCGACCCCAGCCCCCCCCTGCCCACCCACGACTCCACTATTCACTATCGGCAAACTGCTGATCGCGGTATCACGGAAAAAAGGCGCGCACACGCTTGCCATCGATCAAAACAAGCGGCAACGCGCCACGCTTGATGTACATATGTACGCTCTGTCGTCGCAGATCCCTATAGGTCTCTGGAATTCGATGTAAATGTCGGCGGGACACATCAATTCACCCCTTGCGGGCGGGCGGGCGGGCTCGACCGCCCAGCGCGGAGCCGGGAGCCCTCGGCTCAGTAGCCAATTGCGACGGAGCCCTTTAGATCCGAAGCTTGACCATACAACCGCGCCTCGAGGGACAACATCTTCTTGCACCCTTCCTCAGGCACCGCCGCCTCCGTGTGGTCATCCTCTCCCAGCAGCCCTCCGACACGATACCCAGTGCGCTGAAGGTTCTTGACGTAGACGTTCAGATACGGCTGCCCCTTGTCAGTGTGACCGCTGCCGACTTTGAGCTCCACAAGCCCGAGTTTCAGCCACTTCGGCGTCTCGTCACGCGCGTCGTGAGCGTCGAAGTGAAAGCCTCCAGGCCGCACCTTGTTCGCCCACGTCCCTGTGGCGTTGATCTCCTGGAAGTACATGTCCGAGCAGTGTGTCCCCAGTCGACGCGCGTCGGCCTCTACAACAAGCAGCGCGTCCTCGACGGGCATTCCGCGCGGAACGCTGACCAAGACAGATTTGCCTGGCCTCACCAAATCGAACCGCTGACCGAACATGTTCTGCAAGTGTGGATCGCCGGTGGCGGAGGACAATGACGTCGTCGGTGCTGGCGTTGGTGCTGGCGTCGACGCCGCAGTCGGGGTGGGCGTGGGGCTTGGCGTCGGGTCGGCCGTCGGCTTGCGTTCGTAACAGGTGCGCGTGTCCGAATAAAAAGGCGTCGGACTCCCCATCGCTCCCAAGCGCAGGAAACAGGCAGGGGACCATTCCCCAGTCGAGACATGCACAAATCCGACGCACTCCTGATTCGAATTGCACTCGTCGGCGCAAGGTCCAATATCACCACCAAAGACGTCTACTCTGATTGAGCCCAAGTTGCCGGCGACACCGTTCCCATCGCACGTCTGACCCGTATGCTCTGTGTACAACAGCATCAATGCCAGTGTCGGCGCTGGCGTCGGTGCCAATGTCGGACTGGACGTCGGGCTGGGCGCAGGGGTCTTGACCCAGATCGTGCCCTGCACTGGATACGAATTCCTTGGCCAAGTCGTCGCTCCAGCGCCCACCATACCTTGACCCTCAGCCTCTGTTGCCCCAAACCCGATGGCGTCGTCGGCATCACCAACTCTGTCATAGTTGTTGAAGAGAGCACCGAATCGCACCCTGGCCTGATAGATTGACATGTCGTCTGCGTAATTAATGCCCGAACCCATCCAAACGGTTTCTTCCGCCCATCCGTTCCGCCCGGCGTATTCAGCCCACAGCCTGATATCAGCAGTCGATTCGCCGAACCTGATATTCGTGGAGGAGCCGATGGGAGTAGTGGCGAACAGATCCTTGAGAGTCGTCGTCGTGGGAAGCCCCATGGAGGCAAAATTGTACGTCTTGCACCCCCCAGGGAGACCCTCTTATTTCGGTCGCGGGCGCAGACAGAAATGCGTCAAACTTTCCGTCGGCATCCTTGTAAGGGTCAGCATCGGCTTCATCCACGAGTTGGTCATTTGTCCAGTAGTCGCTGGAGAAGGTGAACTGGCTGAAGGTGGCAAACCGCATCGCCAGCACAAAGCCGCCATCGCTGCCCGGGTGCGGCGTGTGGACCGTCGGGTACGGCGTCGGGCTTGGCGTGGGGCTAGGGATCGGACTGGGCGTCGGACTGGGCGTGGGACTGGGCTGACAGTTTCCATTTGTAGCGATATCACCCACTTTCCAATCACGATGAATCGCAGCTGCACTGTCGAAACGTCCATGAGAATTGCCGGCCGTTCCACCATTGGCACCTTGCCAAAGCACACCAGAACCAACCGCAAGCTCCACCCCACCGCGGCATTGCCTCAAATCTGGCCAGTAAACCGTTCCAGATCCAAGCTCCGCCACCCAATCGAAATTGAAATACCTACCGACGGTGCCACCCGCATGATCAGTGCTCAGCACTGGCAACCACAAATCCGTCGTCTGCTCGAAGGTAGGCGCTGGCGTTGGAGCCGTCGGGTGGGGCGTGGGGCTCGGCGTCGGGCTCGGGGTCGGCGCGGCGAGGCACGTCGATAGCGACGAGGGATCATAGCACGTCGAGTTTGAAATGGCCCTGGTCACTGAAAAGTCACAGATCCTATACCTCTCTGCAGAGTCCGCTGGGAATGTGCTCGGACTGAGGGTATTCAATGCTCCGTCCAGGGGAGGCAGAGATGCCAGCGCGGTGCCGTAGGACGAGAACACGGGCCGGTCCACTTGTGTGTTGAATACCTGTTGGCCGTTGACGTAGCAGGCGAAGTCGCTTTCACTCACGATGACCATCTCATAGTACTGATCAAGGCCAACTGGCAACGTCACACGGTAAGTCGTTGAGGGAATCGACAGGGCATTAAACTGGAAAAGCAACTGAAAGGTCCCCGCATTCACCCCAGGCATCCCGGGCCCGTAGATAGCCATGTAGGGATTGTAGCCACTCCCCAAAAGAAGATAAGAAGAGGCGATGTTAGGAAAAGAAGAAGTAACGTGAATCGAAAAACCGATGCGAAATGGAATGCCATTACCATTCCACCCTTGCTCCGCGCAGGCCATCGCTGGTGCTGGGGTCGGTGCTGGCGTGGACGCCTCATTGCCGTCCGACCCGTGCACGGACACCTGGATGAGATGCAGCTCGGCGCCCACCATGGAAGCGAGCGCGGACGCCGTCGCGATGATTAGCTTGTACGCCATGACTGAGGCGACTATGGCTTGAAAGGATACGAAAGAGCAGATGTAAAAGGTAAGAAAGAGCAGTTGTTCGATTGAGATGCCAGGAGGAGATGCACTCACCTGGCGGACTTGAGCCAAAATGGCTACGGACCTACGCCTTCGTCCCATTGGGCCACGAAACGTGCGAGGGGTGTGCCGAATTGGGTGCGGGTACGCCATGCGGACCCTGCCGCTGGGGCCTTCTGTGGAACTCCCTTATGGGGCCACGAAACGTATGAGGGTGTACCAAATCGTATGCGGGCAAGCCAGGCGGACCCTGCCGCTGGGGCCGTCGGAAGATCTCCTTATGGGGGCACGAAACGTGCGAGGTGTGTGCCGAATCGGGTGCGGGTACGCCATGCGGACTCTGCCGCTGCGTCCTTTGGTGGAGCTCCCTATGGGGCCACGAAACGTGCAAGGGGTGTACCAAATCGGGCGCGGGTACGCAATGCGGACGCTGCCGCTGCGTCCTTCGGTGGAGCTCCCTATGGGGCCACGAAACGTGCGAGGGGTGTGCCGAATTGGGTGCGGGTACGCCATGCGGATCCTGCCGTTGGCACCTTCGGTGGAGCTCCCCATGGAGACACGAAACGTGTGAGGGGGGGCAGGCACGCCATGCGGACCCTGCCGCTGGGGCCAACTGTGGAGCTCCCCATGGAGACACGACGCAAGTGAGAGGTGTGCCGTATCGAGTGCGGGCACGCCATGCGGACCCTGCCGCTCGGGCCGTCGGTGGAGCACCCATATGGGGGCTCGAAACGTGCGAGGGGTGTACCAAATCAGGTGCGGGTACGCCATGCGGGCCATGCCGCTGGGGCCTACGGTGGAGCTCCCTATGGGGCCACGAAACGTGCGACAGGTGTGCCGACCCGGGTGCGGGCACGCCATGCGGACCCTGCCGCTGGGGCCGTCGGTGGAGCTCCCCATGGAGCCACGAAGCGTGTGAAGGGTGTGCCGAATCGTGTGCGGGCACGCCATGCGGACCCTGCTGCTGGCGGCCCCTCCCCATGGAGATGCGAAGCGTGTGGGAGACTTGTCGAATGGGGTGTGACTCATTGCATCTGTTCCATCACCGTCTCCACTTGTGGGGCGCGTGCGGTCGCCGCGCGCGATCGGACCTGCACTGCACACGCCATGCAGACCCTGCGGTTGGGACCTTCGTTGGGGCTCCCGAAGGGGCCACGAAACGTGCGACGGGTGTGCCAACCCGGGCGGGGTACGCCAGGCGGACCGGACCCTGCCGCTGGGGTCGACGGTGGAGCGCCCCATGCGGCCACGAAGCGCGTGAGAGAGGTGCCGAATCGTGTGCGGGTCCGTCATGCGGACCCTGCCGCTGGGGCCGTCGGTGGAGCTGCCCATGGAGACACGAAGCCTGTGAGAGGTGTGCCGAATCGTGTGCGGGTACATACGGACCATGCCGCTGGGGTCGTCAGTGGAGCTCCCCTATGGGGCACGAAACGTGCGAGGGGTGTGACGAAATGTGAATACTGCGGAGGGCAAAGGCAGAGATGGGAGGAGGGAGGAGGAGGGAGGAGTAAGGAAAAAGGAACGCGGGGCGCTGTCCCTTCAAAACGAGGACCCAACACAAGATGGTTTGGAAAACCTGTACTGGAAACGACCCAGGACCAGACCTGGTGGTCGCAAGCTCGCCAACATTGCGTGCACGACGCCCTCTCGAGAATCGAAAAGAGCAATCTGCAAATCGGCCTGGCAGGGTGGGGGTTCTAGCAACCTCTGGGGTGAGCGCCACGATAGCCAGAACCCCTCCTGAGCCCAGCGTGGCAGGATAAGTCAGCATCTGATCGGCAAGTCGGATCGAATCGGTGTGCTCTGGATCAGGCAGCATCGGCACGGAGTCGAAATCGAATCGGCTGCGCCAGGATGCACAACAACGTCATGCAAACATCGGGCCGCATCGGATCGTCGGAATCTGCCGACCCCCTTGTGGGGCCACCAGGCTGTCGGGCGAAGTTGCTGCTCCCTGCGCCAGTTGCTGTTTCAAATATCCAATGTTACAGTACTGCTGTCTGCTTCCTACTGGAAGTTGCTGAAGTCCGCGCGAGGGGGGGAGCCTCAAACCAGCAGTTGACTACGCCCGGATCGCGTGCTCTGAATGCCCTGGGGTGCGTGGGACACGTAAAAATACATGAGGTTCGCGCCCCCGAAGCCATAATCCCTTTGTATATTATGCAATTGTCGCGTCCCCGAGGCCCCCTTGTAAATTACGCAATGCTTGCGTCCCCAAGGCAACAGAGCCTCGTAAATTACTCAATGTTCGCGTCCCCGAAACCTTAAACCCTGGAAAATTACACTGTATTCGCATTGCCGAGGCCAAGATTGCTCGAAGGTGCCCGAAGATGGTTCCAAGACGGCCCAAGAGGGCCCAGAGAGGACCCAAGAGAGCTCCAAGGGGCCTCCCGAGAGAGCCCCACGAGGCCAAAATCGTAGATGTTACGAAAGTGTTTGAAGGAGTATGGCCTTCTCGCATCTTTGGCTTTCTAACACTCCAAGACGGCTCAAGAAGCTCCCAAGACCGCCCCAAGGCAGCCCAAGACGCCTCCAAGGGGGCCCCAAGACGCCCCAAGAGGGCTCTCAGATGGCCCAAGAAGCGCTCAAGACGGCCCAGAAGGCCCCAAGACGTCCCCAAGAGGGGCCCAAGCAGGGGACCACGAACCGAGTATTCCATATTTGTGCCCCGAGAAGCCCCCGGGAAGCACCAAGAGGCCGTCAAGAGGCCCCAAGAGGCCCTAAGAGGCACCCGAGACGCGCCCAAGAGGCATCCAAGAGACCCAAAAGATGTCCCACAAAGCCCCAAGAGGCCCCCAAGAGGCGCCCAAACCGCCTCCAAGAGGCCCCCGAGAGGCTCCCCACGACACCGCAACACACATACAAGAGGCCTCAGACCCACAACCCAGGCACGGTGGCGGGGATGGGCCGAAGGCCACTAGAATCCGCCGCCCCCTGTTGATTCATCACAGGTGTGCCTTACGTGCTAGACCCTTTCGGATTTTGGTGTTGATTCTTTTTCCAAAAGAACTCCCCCTGGGCCTCCGGCGCGTCCCGCTGGCCACCCGGAAAGATTGCCAAGGACCTCAATCCGGAAAAAAATCCTCCAAGATGGTCCAAGATGGCCTCCAAGATGGTCACGTTGCCCAAGATGGCCTCCAAGATGGTCCAAAATGGCCTCCAAGTCCGCCCAAGATGGTCCTTGACGGCCTCTAAGACGGCCCAGGAGAGTCCAGAATCCCTCCAAATTCGCCCAAGAAGCCTCTAAGACGGCCCAACACGACCCAAGAGGCCTCCAAGAGGTCCTCCAGGAGGACCCGAAGAGGCCAAAATCATCGATTGTCCAGCAGTTTTTTAAGGATGTTGGCACTTGTTTCTTCTCGGCATTCCGACGGCTCAAGACGGCCCAAGAGGCCCCCCCAAGAGCGCCCCAAGATCGCCCACGAGGCCTCCAAGATGGCCCCATGACGGCCCAAGAAGCCCCCAAGACGGCCCCAAGAGGTCCCCAAGAGGCCTCCAAGACGGCCACGATCGCCTCCGCAACGGCTAGAATGACCCCGAGATGCCTCCAAGACGGCCCAAGATGCATCCAAGACGGTCTAAGATGGCCTCAATATTGCCCAAGACGGCCCAAGAGGCCCCCAAGAGCCTCCAAGACGGCCCAAGAGGCCTCCAAGAGGGGGAGGGCCCGAAGAGACCAAAATCATTGATCGTCCATCAGTTTTCAAAGAAGTTTGGCAATTGTTTCTGCTCGGCATTCCGACGGCTCAAGACGGCCCAAGAGGCCCCCAAGAGCGCCCCAAGATCGCCCACGAGGCCTCCAAGATGGCCCCGTGACGGCCCAAGAGGCCCCCAAGACGGCCCCAAGAGGTCCCCAAGAGGCCTCCAAGACGGCCAAGGTGGCCTCCAAGACGGCTGCGATGGCCCCAAGATGCCTCCAAGACGGCCCAAGATGCATCGAAGACGGCCTGAGACGGCCCAAGAGGCCCCCAAGAGGCGCCCAAGACGGCCCAAGAGGCCTCCAAGAGGTCGTCCAGGAGGGCCCGAAGAGACCAAAATCATTGCTCTTCCTTTGGGCTTTGAAGGATTTTGACAGTTGCTTCTTCTCGACAGCGACGGAGAGACCATACAGGACCTCAAAGTCCACGAACGATCCCTCCAAGACGGACAAGATGGCCTCCAAGACGGTCCCAAGACGCCTCCAAGACTGCCAAGGTGGCCGAAGATGGCCGAACATACGTACATACGAACATACATGCATACATACGCACACACATACATACGGACGTACATACATACATACATAATGACATACATACACACGTACATGCATACGTACATACGTACATAACAGCATACATACATACATACATCCGTACATACATACATACATACGTACGTCAAACATCCATACGTACGTACATGATTACGCACGTACATACATACATGCATGCAAACAAACATACATACATATAAACATATGTACATACATGCATTATGCATACATACATACATACATACATACATACATACCTACAAGAACACATACATACAAACATACATACGTACATCCATACATACATGCGTACATCCATACATACATACATGCGTACATACATACATAGATAGATGCATACGTTTTTCCGTGCGAAATCGAGCAAACGCGCAGCCGCGGCGCTCGACCCCGCCCAAAGGCTCAACCCGGGACCTTTGGGAGCTGCGCAATGCGTTGCGCCGCCAAGCATGCAAACGCCTCCGCGCTGCCACCCGCGCGGGGCAATTCCCCATGGAGCAGCGCCGCCTGGCACCGAGCCGGCAGACGCTCCCGCCAACCCGGACACGCGCTCCCCAGCATGCTTGCTGCCGATGCCGAACTGTCGCCGCAGCGGAGGCAGAAGACGTGGCCCGGCCCGTGCGCGAGGGCGCGGGGCCACCACGAGCGGCCAGCGAAAAACGCGGCCAGCATGTCCCCACTGCTGACGGGCGCGTCCGTTCCGCTGCGGCGCGGACAGGTCGGCGCTGGCGTCGCCCGGCCAGCGGGGGCGTCGGCCGCCGGGGCGGACGCCGCGCGGGCCCGGGTCCCGCGGCGCACGTTGCGCCAGTCGCGCGGCCGGCGG